GTATTTTTATTTAATAGGTATTAAAATTTAGTGGTCTCACTGTGGTTCTAATTTGCATTTTGATAATGACTAATGATCCTGAATATCTTTTTATGTGCTTTTTTGCCACTCATGTATCTTTTTAAATGAAGTGTCTTTTCAAATGTTCTTGCCCATTTTTGTATAGGGTTGTTTGTTTTCTCATTATTGAGTCTTCAGAGTTATATATTAAGAATACAAGTCCTTTATCAGAAATTTGGCTTGTAGATATTTTTGCCAAGCCTTTTTAGTCTGTTAATATTTTCTTTTGAAGAGGAGACGTTCTTATTTAATTAAGATCATTTTTGTTTTTTTATTTTACAAATTGTGCTTTTGGGTATGCTAAGAAATTTTTCGCCAAAGACACAAAGAGTTCCTCCTGTGTTTCTTTCTAGAAGTGTTTTAGTTTTAGAAATGTTATTTTAAAAAATAAATAAATAGAGGTGGGGTCTTGCTCTGTTACCAGAGTGGGGTACAGTAGTGTGAGTATACATACGTACAGTAGTGTGAGTTCCTTGCAACCTCCATCCTCTGGCCTCAAGTGATCCTCCCACCACAGCCACCTAAAGAGCTGGGAATACAGCCATGAGCCACCACCATGGCTGGCCACAAATGTGTTACTTGGTTTCCAAATAATTAGGGATTTTCCCAGAAGCTTTCTGTTACTGACTTCTAATTTAACCTCAGTGTGGTCAGGGAATATAGTGTTTAGGAATTGAATCTTCTGGAATTTATTGAAACTTGTTTCCTCACCCAGAATATAGTTTATCATGGTAAATATTTCTTGTGCTCTTGAAAACAGTGTATATTCTGCTATTATGGATAGAGTGTTTTATAACAGGTCAAGTTAGTTGATAGTGTTGTTTAGATATTCTATATCTTACTTATTTGCTGTCTACTTGCTCTATTATTGAGAAAGGGATATTGGAATCTCTGGCTATGTTTGTGGATTTGTGGATTTCTCTTTGCATTTTTATCAATCTTGTTTTATGTAATTCGAAACACAGTTATTAGGTACAAAACCCTTAGGATTTTTATGTCTTTTGATGAAGGGAACATTTTATCATTATGAAACTACTGCATCTCTGCTAATTCTTTTTGATCTGTATCTATTCTGTCTAGTAGTAATGTAGCCACTCTGGATTTCTTTTGATAAGCATTAATATGATACATTTTGTTCATCTGTTTACTTTTAACATTGTGAAGGGGATTTTTTGTTTTTTTGTTTTGTTTTTTTTTTACCTGAGACAGAGTTTCACTCTTGTTGCCCAGGCTAGAGTGCAATGGCATGATCTTGGCTCACCACAACCTCCACCTCCTGGGTTCAAGCAATTCTCCTGCCTCAGCCTCCCGAGTAGCTGGGATTACAGGCATGCACCACCATGCCTGGCTGATTTTGTATTTTTAGAAGAGACAGGGTTTCTCCATGTTGGTCAGGCTGATCTTGAACTCCCTACCTCAGGTAATCTGCCCGCCTTGGCCTCCCAAAGTGCTGGGATTATAGGCGTTAAGCCACTGTGCCAGGAACATTTTGAGTCTTTAGATTAAAAGCAAGTTTCTTGTAGGCAGAATATACTTGGATCTTGCTTTTTATCTAATTTAGCAATCTCTGCTTTTTAGTTGTGATGTTTAAATCAGAGATCCACAAACAAGTGTCTGTAGGATGAATCTGGCAGGTAGCTTGTTTCTATATAGCCTGTGAGCTAAGAATAGTTTTTACATTTTTAAAGGGTTGAAAAAAAAGAAGCTAACCTGAAAAGCTTAACATATTTACAATCTGGCCCTTTATGGAAAAAGTTTGCTAAATGCTGGCTTAGAGTATTTATAATTAATGTATGATTGATATGTCTCTGTTTAACCAGTAACACAACAAAGAAAACTATTTTTCTTTTTGTCTCTTTTGTCTCATTTTTTCCTTTTTTATTGCCTTCATTTGGATTGAGTATTTTCTATTTCTGTATATCTTCTTTGCTAGTTTATTTGCTATAACTCTTTACTTAGTGATTGCTTTAGGATGTATAGTATAAGTTTTTTTAACTGATCAGAGTCTACCACTTCATATAGCCTAAGAGCCTTACAACAATACATGTCTATTTCTCTTCTTCATGGGGCTGGGTGCAGTGGCTCAAGCCTGTAATCCAAGCACTTTGGGAGGCTGAGGCGGCAGGTGGATCACGAGGTCAAGAGCTTGAGACCATCCTGGTCAACATGGTGAAACCCCGTCTCTACTAAATATACAAAAAATTAGCTGGGCATGGTGGCGTGTGCCTGTAATCCCAGCTACTCAGGAGGCTGAGGCAGGAGAATTGCCTGAACCCAGGAGGCAGAGGTTGCAGTGAGCCGAGATCATGCCATTGCACTCTAGCCTGGGTAACAAGAGTGAAACTCTGTCTCAAAAAAAATATATAATAATAATAATAATAAAATATTTCCCTTCTTCAGTCCTTTATGCTGTTATTGGCATGTATTTTATCTATGCCTATATTATAAGCCACCTGGCATATTGTTATAATTTTTGTTTTAATTGGTTGATTTTTTAAAATATTTAAAATTAAAAGTAAAGATTGTATAACTACTATATAGTTTCCATTTCTGGTGTTCGTCATTCTTTTGTGTAGATTCAAGTTTCCTTCTGATGTCCCTTTTCTTCTTGAAGAACGTTCTCAAGTGAAAATCTGTGATGCCTTATTTCAGTTTGTGTATGACTGAACACGTTTTTATTTCATCTTAATTCTTAAAAGATTTTTTGCTGGGTATAGAGTTCTTGGTTGACAGGGATTTTTCTACCCCCAGTACTTTAAAGATGTTGCTCTATTGTCTTCTAGTTTGCATTGCTTCCAACATGAAATCATCTATAATCCTTATTTTTATTCATTTGTACATAATATTTCTTTTCTCTCTCTCTTTGCTTTTAAGAAATTTTTATCACTGGTTTTCAGCAGTTCACTATTATAATCTATGTCATTTTTTGTGTTTGGGGTCTTTTAGGTTTCTTGAATCTTTTGGATTTAGTTTCATCAAATTTGGAAAATTTTTGGTCATTGACTTTTCAAATGTTTTTTGCCTCACAGTCCCCTCTTTCTTTTGAGTACTCTGATTACATGATGTAGCAGCTTGATGTTGTCCACACTTTGATTTTTTTCTCTTTTTATTTTTCAGGTTTTTTTTCTCTCGGCATTATTTTGGATGGTTTCTACTGTTATGTTTTTTAATTCATTAGTCTGTTTTTCTGCAGCATATAATCTCTATTACAACCATCCAGTATATTTTTTAACTCACATATTGCAATTTTTACCTCTAGAAATTTGATTTAGATATTTAATGTTTTCTGTGTCTCTGTTTAACATGTTAAACATTTTATCTAGCATCTGAGTAGAATAGAGTTATAATAAATATCTTGATATCCTGCCTGTTAATTCTATCATCTGTGCCATTTCTAACTAAGTTCCAATTGATTGATTTTACTCCCTGCTATGAACTGTGTTCCTGCTTCCTTGCATAATTAGTGCTATAGAATAAATGTTTATGTCCTGCCAAAATTCTTAGGTTGAAACCTAATCTCCAAGGTGATGATATTTGGAGTTGGGGACTTTGGAAGGTGATGAGGTCGTGAGGGCAGAGCTTTTCTTTGTAAATGGAATTAGCACCCTTATTAAAGACAGTCCAGGAGAGCTCCCTTGTTTCTTGCACCTTGTCTCTCTCTGTGTTAAGCAAAATCATTATCTACAAACCAGGATATGGGAGTGTAGATTGACTGCAGGCTGCATCCCTCTGTTCTCAGGTGTTGGCAGGCTCTAGTTCCTTGCCTTTCTTTTTCAGTGCACTTTAAAAAAAGCCATATTAAGACAGAATCCACATTAGCAAGAAAATGCAGTCACTTTGCAAAGTAATGAAGCCTGTTTTCCTCTGATTTTAAAAACCATTCTTTTCAGGTCACTCTCCCACTGTTATTTTGACTTTTTCTTTCCTCAGTCAAAAAGGGTGTTGTTTGGCAGCTCTGAAGATCTTGAAGCTTTAGTTATAGAAAAATTAAATGCTTTGCAGTGTTATTTTCTGGTGCCAAAATACTGATTTCTGCAAATACATATAGGAAAAATGGATAATGAGGCCCATTTCTTTTTTGTGTTGCAAGTAAAGCTTAAGATCCCATATTCCTGAAAGGATCAGAGAAGCTTAGTGTAGGGAAAGGAAGTCTACTGATAATCCACAAACTGGCTTTAAGAAATCATCTCAACTTTCTTCTTGGTTTGAAGTTATTCAAGAGTCTCTAGCAGAAGTCACCGGGTGAATTTTAACTGTGTTTCTCTTTGTCACCAGGGATGTCACGAATTAGGTGTTCATTCACTTACTGCTCCTGGCTGTAGATGAGACCTAGGATAAGAGTGGAGCAGGGAGGGTCTCTCGAGCCAGTCTGACCCTGGGAGTTCTCGCAACCCACTAAGACTGTGGGTCAGGCTGATGTGAGGGCCCTGTCTGTAGTATAATCCATGGTAGAGAATGAACTTAGGTTGACTCCACCAGGGAAAATTCCCCATGATACAGGCAGGTCCAACTGAGCTTTCTGTGGTAGAATCTCCTACTCTTTCTTCCCTTTTCTTCTCTTTTCATCTCCACGGAGGAAGCACAACCCACGCAGCTGTCACGACCAGGCGCTGACCTGCACTCTCACCTGTGTAGCACTGCAGCCTCGCTGGCCTTTCATGAAGCACAGGATGCTCCCATAGGTGCCCCACCGCAGTTCCCCTCCATACCTAGGCTCAGTACCCGCAGACCTTGAAACACACCGTCATTCCAGTGTGCAGGGACTGGACCCCGGAAGGCCCACTGAGTGGCGACCCCCTCGGTGCTTCCTGAGCTGTCTAAGCCACCGGGACCTGAGTGCCACTTTGTGGTTTAATCAGCCAAGGGGTTCTCTCTGTGTCAGATGTGGGAGGCGGTCTGCTCATGTCACAGCTCTGGATTTTCCCTTTATGTCTCCCCAGAAATTGCAGGTGCTGCAGTGTCCGAAATTTCTGGGCCGTTCTCGACGGAGGACGTAGCCAGCAACTGTGTCCCCGCGCAGTCTTTGAGCGAGCCCATTTTGTGGATCGTGTCGTACGCGCTCATGAGTGTGTGTGGAGCCATCCTCCTTGTCTTAATCGTCCTGCTGCTGCTGCCGTTCCGGTGTCAGCATCGCCCCCGGGACCCTGAGATCGTGAATGATGAGTCCTCTCTGGTCAGACATCGCTGGAAATGAAGAGCCAAGCCAGACCTCAAGCAACCGTGGACTCAGCTATTTAAAAAAAAAAAAAAATCACGTTTCAAGGACAGCAGCCGGGATGGATGGCGGCGCTTCCTTCCGTGCCCACCCGTCTTCAATCTCTGTTCTGCTCCCAGATGCCTTCCAGATTCACTGTCTTTTGATTCTTGATTTTTTAGCTTTCAGATCTTCCCTACTTCCAAGAAAAATGATAATGAAAAAAAAAAAAAACATTCTAAACCAAAACAGAGTGGATTGGGCTGCAGGCGCTATGGGATTGGTTATGCCAGACTGTCTAGGTGTGCCACCAACATGAAACAAAACCAAGTGGTGGCTAGTCTCTTCTCTCTCCAATCTCTGGGAAAATAAGCGCACATAGTTAACTCCTCTTAGCTCACGGGAAGCTTTTTGTATTAATCACCTTTGAGGGTATTTTGTGCCAGACCTCAACCTGGGTCAAGGTCGTATAAGAAGGCTTGCAGCATGATGGCAGGAGAAGCAGCCTGGGGCCTGGGGATGTAACCGTGCTGTCCCCTTCAGAGCTGGAAAAAGAGCCACAGGCCCCTTTTGTGGGTTTCTCTGTGCTCTGAGTGGGAGCCAGAATCCACTAGGAGGTCATCGACCGATGGTCCTCACCAGCCTCTTGTGAAGATGGAAGGCCTTTTGCCCATTGAGGTAGAGTGGGAAGGAAGCCTCCTCTTTTGTACCCAATACTTCTGTTGTGTTGTTGGTGTGAAGGTAAAAACACTACCTCTTTTGAGACTTTGCCCAGGGTCCTGTGCCTGGGTGTGGGTGCGGGCAGCTGTTCCCCTCACCCAAAAGGATTATCATCCCAACAGCCAAGAACCAACAGGTGCTGAACTGTGCATCGACCAGGAAGAGAGTTCTGTCACCGAGCTGGCCACTCACATATGCTTACTGTTGCTTAAAATTAATAAATCGTGTTTTCATGAAAAAAAAAAAAAAAACCCCTTCTATTTCACTAGCTTAGTTGTCTATTTTTTCAAATCTTCTCTGGAAGTAGGTTGGTTATTACCCTGTTGGGAAACAGGGAAATGGCCCGATGCCCCTATTTCTGACCAGCTGTTGCGGAAGGAAGACACAAGATGTACAGAAGACACGAGGGAGAATCTACTAATCCCCATGCTTCGAAGCCATGTGTTTCCCTTTGCAGAACCAGCTAGGCTCAAGGATACCCATCCAATCATCTTAAATTGTTTAGCAGTTGACCTCTGTGCTTCTTCCCTTGGGGGTATTTAATCTTTGGTAACAGGTGTACAGTGGTAGCCTTATGTGGGGCAATCGCTACTTTCTGTCACTCGTTGAGGCCTTTGCCAAAGAAAAGTGGAAGCCCTTACCTCGATATAGCCAGCCTTCTATGATCGATGGCATTAAGAGAAGAATTGAAAGACTGTCCCTTCTCTCCTGCTTCTGTGCCAAGCTCAGTGTTCACTCTGCATTTCTTTTGGGTAGGTTGGGTATATTACAGAATTCCACCCAAAGTGCTAAGTGTCCCCTCCTGCAGACGTGTCGGTATTCACGGTAGGCTGCGTGTGGATGTTTCAGCCATCTGCTCTGCTCCCTGGGTCCCCGGGTCACGTCCATACTGAGAAATATGTGACTGTGCCAAAGAGACGTGGAGGCCACGTCGGCTTGTCATGCTGTCCTGGAAGACTCTCCAGCAGCCAGAGGAACCTTCTGTGCTGTTCTCACTGGAGAAGATTTGAGTTGCAGCTTGGAAGGAACATGACGGCATGGAACGGGAGGAGGGGGCTCTTGTATCAGGGCCCATTGTCACGCCTGCTGTCAGCTTGTTGAGGGCTCAAAATCTCAGGGTGCGTTTCAGAGGGAGAGATGTCTGGAAGTCAGATTCTCTTCTCATCCCATTGGCTTTCTCCGTGGTTCCTGTTTTGTGGGCCACTTTGCATAGGAGTGATGCCAGCACCCCTAGATTGTGCCTTCCCCTTGCTGTGAAAAATTCGAACCCCTGAAATAAAAGGAGGGAATTGCAGGTATGGCCTGGTTAGTCTTCCTGCTTATTTCTCTACACTGGCAGTTTCTGCGTCATTGTATCACGTTAGGCTTCAGGGGCGGGAATCTTGCTCCTGCCGCAGATGGACAGGCAGGGTTCTCGGAATACGCAGAAGTCACAAGCTAGGTTTCCAGGCCGAGTAGGTGAATACAGCTTGCCCATCACGCTCTCTTGTATTTCATATCAAATTTCTTTATCTTTTCCTATCGCATGTCATTGGATGTGACATTTTGATGAAAATACTGAAATTACACGAGCATAGCTTAGCAACAAGAATGAAATAGACAATTGAATGTGGGACATTTTTCTGGCATGCCATCCTGCTCAGAATTGGACTTCCAGTCGAACCCCTGTTAGTGATAACCACCTCCTCCGGTTATGTAAATGGATGCTTGGCTTGGAAGAGGAAAGGAATTAGCAACCCTTTCAGGGTGTCATTTTCACCTTGTAATATACGCTGTGGAAAATACTGGAAGGCGGTCCTTGCCTGAAAGGTGCCACTTAGCATTAGGTTGTTACCAGAAACGTTGTCAAGTCTGATGGGAAATCGGTGCTTCTATATAGACAATATTATTTTAGGATGCTGCTTTATTTTCGTGATAAGTTCTTTCAAAGTCTGAAATGAAATCCTGCCTTCAGTAACTGAAACCATTTATTAAAAATACCAAGAAACAAGATGGGGACCAATTCTATTTTTATTCTTGGGAACTTAAAGGAGCCACAAGTGATTGGTGTCAGCTCTCCCAGCATGTACAGTACACGATTTTGTATTTCTCCTGAACCAAAAACAAATACTTTGCACTCAAACAGATGCCCTGTGTGCGACTGCGGGGAATGTTTTTCTAGAAAACGTTCCACTTCTGAACACTGCAAAGGACCTTACTTGATTCATGGTGAAACACAGAGGTTTTGATTGGAGGTAAATTTGGGGTCACTTACTGTTCAAAGTTGTAAAAGTAATTCCCAGGAAGACAGCGTTAATGACTGCAGAGCTTTGGGTAATCGACTTGGAAAAGCAATTGCGAATTGGGGATTGCATCATTTCATTTAAGAGGTGAAGAGGGATTTGATTATTTAACACGCCAGGTGCAAACTTGTTAAATTCCTCTTTCCCTGTCCCTGCTTGGTGGAGCTGCCATGCGCGGCTCAGTTCTCAGTTCTGGCCTAATGCCACTCAATATCATAGGGAATAAATCGCTGTTCAGCTGTCTGTTCCACAAACAACAGTAATTGAGTTTCACAGACTTTATCCTGATTAGTGGAAATCAAATAATTGGGTGGAATTCCCATGCCTGTTCTCTTACACAAACTTATTAGAATTGATTAGAGAACTGTTTGGAGGGAAAACTTGCCACTAAGATTTTTTTTTTTTTTTAATGACCAAGCACCATAAAGTGTAAAGCTCGAGGTTTTTAATGCCAAGAAAACTCCACGCCATGCCACAGAAGTTACTGTGTACATATTTAGGGAGTTTTAAGAATTTCACATTTGAACTTAACAGCAGTTTACCACATAAATGGCAGGCTGGAAAAACACATTTTGAGAGGAATAGGGAGAATAAGAATGTAATTAAAAGTATGCTAGCAACAAAGTAAGCAGAACATATTCTTTTAGAAAATGCAGTTTAGACCAGGTGCGGTGGCTCATACCTGTAATCCCAGCACTTTGGGAGGCTGACACAGGTGGATCGCCTGAGGTCAGGAGTTAGAGACCAGCCTGGACAACATGGTGAAACCCTGTCTCTACTAAAAATACAAGAGCCAGGTGCGGTGGTGTGTGCCTGTAATCCCAGCTACTCGGGAGTCTGAGGCAGGAGAATCACTTGAACCAGGGAGGCAGAGGTGGCAGTGAGCTGAGATCGTGCCACTGCACTGCAGCCTGGCAACAGAGCGAGACTCCATCTCAAAAAAAAGAAAGAAAATACAGTTTAATTCCAGCCATCCTCGGATTTCTTTTCCCTTTAAAGTGGCTGAATCCACTGGAGATGTGACTCACTTTGCAGAGCCACCATTTCCAAACTGAAGGAATATTCAAGCGGGAGTCATGTGTCAATGACAGCTTTCACAGAGGGAGAGACCGGGTGGCCGGGTGTTGCCCACCTGGAGCAAGGACTGGTTCTTTCAACAGATGGAGAGTACAGGATGGCTGGGGCCTGGCAAGTGCCAGAATCTGGGAAGAGGGTGGGGCAAGAAGGAGCCAGGAGCGAGGTCCCACCCTTCAGGGGGCAGTGGGCCACGGAGGTCCACACCAGCCAAGAACGTCCCCAGGATGACGTGGGTACCTCAGTTCACCCCATGTTTTTGGCACAGCCTACTTTTTAGGAATTTTCTAAAGGAATTCTCAGGATTGATTATTTGTCAGAGGAACAGTTAGGCCAAGGGAAACTTGCTTGGTAGCCATATGTAAAACACACCTATCCTAATAAAACTAGAGAGGCCTCAAGGACCAAGCAGGACACAGGCAGGTTCAAGGTCATGCACCAGGAAGTTTGTAGGGCAGGGTCAAGTGACTGAGGCCAAAGGGAGTTGGCATCGTAACCTGTGGGGTCTGAGCATCTGGAAGGCTCCTGGTAGCAGTTACCCTGGTAGTGTCACTGAGAGGCACAGCAGCTCGGCCCTCACTGCTTCCGCCAGCTCTGCTGAGCCAGCCCAGCCCGTGCATTCGGAATGCCTGACAGCTTCCTTCTCCAGAATGTCTCCTGTCACTGACTTCCAGAAAAGGAGCTCCCTCCTGTCTCACTGGTGTCAGTGTGGGAGCCCTGCTCCCCAGGCGCCACGTCCCCGGAAGGTCCAAGCTGTCCGGAGCACACCCAGCCCCATTCAGGGTCAGTGCAGGAGGGATGAGGGAGGCTGCAGAGCAGGAACCAGGATTTTCAGATGTGGGCGGCTCCCTGGGCTATTGCTGTCACCCCAGGGGTGGGCGAAGGCTGTTCGCCACATCTGTGGAATGTGGAAATGAGAACAAAGCCATGCTTCTTAGTGATGCCACCAAAACCTCAAGTCACTTCAGCGGCTGGAATCTATCATAGGTGTTGAGGATACGTAACTTCCACCAATATAAATACGGTATTTTCTTCCCTGCCCCTGAGCTCCTCTAGGTTTCTTATCAGATATTACACACAGAGGTCCAGTGCTTCTAAACTAAATTATACCTTGTAACTTTTACATCACACTTGCTCAAAAACCACACGGTGGGTAGCGGCTGGGCCAAGAGGCATCACAAAGCTTCCTGATAAATTCGAATCCAGCCCCAGCAAGAGTGACAGGCGGGTACCTGGTCCCTGGGGTACTTGTTGGACACTACTGTGATGAGAGCAGCCATCCTGGTATCTCCACTAGCACCTCGGGAAAGAGGGTGATAGTGAAATATCTGTCTCTCCTCTGGGAATCAGGGGAGCCCTAAGAAGTGGGTAGTTCTCTTTACAGATGGATAATTATTGGTATGAGGCCAACCAGATAAAGTCCAAACTGTATAGAACACACGTGTGCCTCACACATAGCCTTCTGAGTAAAATATTTTGCCAGTATAGATTTGTAATTATATAATTGTAAATGATAGAAGGAAATCGACATTATACTATGTATATTTGTAATTATATAATTGTAAATGATAGAAGGAAATCTACATTATACTATGTATATTTGTAATTATATAATTGTAAATGATAGAAGGAAATCTACATTATACTATGTAGATTTCAATGTTAGGCACAGCTGTCACTTTAGTGATATCGATAAAAGGCTAGAAACCTTGAGCGTCCTTGGCAACCTCGCCTTTGATGTCCACGTTTTTCGGTAGGATTTTCCTTATTTGGCTTGGAATAAACATGCATTTTTATTCACAAGACATGGACAGATCAGAATATGGTAAGGAAGGAAGTGTCTCCAAAGGTCAGGACTTCTTCTTTCTGTTGAGTGCTATAGATGGAGGTGATTGAAAGTTCGCTGATGTGAGTGTGGTTTCGCTAGCTACATTGTACCTATTGAAGTAAAATGTTACACAAGTCTCACATTTCTGAGATTAGCGTTCCTGAATGATATGTTAAGAAAAACATTCAAAGATTATCTCTTTTTAAGATGGAGGGAAAAAATGAACAAAGCTAATTATAATGAAAATTGCACAAAATATCGTTTCTTAACAAATGTAATGCAATTTTGTGTTCTTTGTTGCTAATGGTATAAAATGAGATTTTTTTCCCCTCATTTTTTAAAATTGTAGATGTAATTTCATGCATTTGTATCAGTGAGGTTTAAAATTCTGTGTAGCAATCACTCGGCACGTGATAGGGCAGAGAATGAATGAGGTTTGTCATGTCCTAGTAAAAGCTGAATTTTTATAATCTCAAATGATGTATTTTCTACTATTGCTGTTGATTTGCATTGTTAAAATTCTTAAAGTTTAACATGCTCTGTTTAGTCGCCGAAAGCGACCACTCATGTCTTCCTAAAGTTGCTGACTTTTCTGCCGTGCTGTAGTCAGTATTTCGCTTCTGGCAGAAGAGCTGCAAGCTGTGTGTCCTCACACAGACGCAAAAAGTTGTGCTTTGCAAAATGTTTGTTTTGTGTTGATCTCAGATTAACATCCTTTAATACATGTTTCTTAAGTGTAACTTGTACTTTTGAAAATGCCTAAAATTATTTTATATTTCCCTTTTGGAATTTTGCTCTATTTCCAGCACGCTGGTTGATTTAAAATTGTAATAAGACCAAGAGTTGGAGTAATGGGATATTCATTTCATCTTTAAAGTGGCTTCATGGCTGCTGATTAATGTCTGAACCATTGCTGTGCCCTTCAGAACTGGAGTTTTCTAAAATAATCTTATTTTTATACTTGTAAGTTCCAGCAATTTAAAATACATACCATTGAAAGGGAGATAAAGCGTTTTTGTTTATTTGAATAAATAATACTTCCAACCTGTTGCTTTTTGGAATTTTTTGTAGGTACTTATTTCTCTTGGGTCACACTTCTGAAATCACTGTAAGTGACAGGTCTGGTGGTTTGTTACCTCCACTCCTTCCTTGTGGGTTCCTGGAAAATGTCAAGGATAAAATCAAATGGAAGGAAGGGTTCAGGCTCACTCATTAAGATGCAAAACGCTGAAGGTGGGGAGAACAAAGTGCTTTCAAATCTGGAAACCCTACAGGTGGAGAGAAAACACCTGTAGAGAAGAAATCCAAGAAGCCCATTTCAGCGGTTGTAAAGATGGGACAGGTGATTCAGCTGGGTCCTGGAGATGACCAGGACAGCAATGCCTATGCGGTCACTCCCGTGATCACCCTGCAGGGAGGTGTCATTCTCCCATTTCACAGACGAGAAGCTATATCTCTGAGTCACCCACCCAGGAAAATACAGCTAAAAAGTGGAGAGGAACCCAGCTCTGTCTCCCTCCAACGGCCCAGCTGTTTCTCTGCACCACACTCTGGCCCATCTGCCGGTTTGAACCACACTCTCAGAGCCTAACACATCATTTGTGCCAGAAAAATCCAGTTTAGTGGTTCGGTCTCTAGAGATGGGTGTGCACCAACTTGGGCACGGCAGAAGAACGTAATGAATGAAGTGAACGTCACCCATGAGCCGTGATCTAGCTGCTAAGCCAATCCTTTGCCAATAGACTGCTTTCAGTGACTACACACTTTTTATCTGACAATATCCAAGTGAGGAGGGGAAAAGAAGAATCTCCAACCAGTAGGAGGTAAAGTGATAGTTACTGGAGAAACAGAAGAGGGTACCTGCTTTCTAGCCAGAGTGAGATGCTTTGTCCTATTTTGCCATCCCTAAGCTGGAGGGCACGCAGCGGATGGCATTTTCACAAGTCTGTCACTAGGTGGTGCTGTTGTAAAGCATTGTGGTATAACGATCGCGCCTTTTTCCCCATTGTGGGTCGCTTTCGCAGGCTTTTATCAAGTTACGGGTGTGTAAGGACCCTACACACCATCAGACCTTTTTCATTCTGTTCTTTATAGAATCTGAAAAATAGGCCAGCTAGCGGTGTAGTAAATCTTAGAGGCAACCCCTAAACACACATCTCCAGCCCTGGCCCGTCCCTGGGTTTTAGACTTGGCTCTGCAAGTTCCCTCTGGAGGTGTCTGCTCGAACATCACTGGGAAGGAAACTGAGGCACAGAGAGGCGCTATGACGTCTCCAGATTCTTCCGTAAATGACATACCCAGATTCAAAACACCTGTGTGTCTGGTTACCAGACTCGTGAGCTCAATCATTATGCCATTGCCCTTTTAAGGTTAAAGATTTAAAATTATTTATGCTAAAATTAAAATGCTACAAGGAGAAAATACTGGGGAAAATATTTGTAACAAATATAAGGGCAGAAGCTGATATTTATTGAACAGCAAATTCTGGCCATGCATCCTGCCATTTCATCCTCAGAACAACCCCCAATGAGGTGTACGTGGCACTAAAAACATTTTAAAACCCAAGGTTGAAAGACAGGGCTACAGCAAGGACAGGCTCAGGGAAATCAGGAGGTCCAGGGAGGGGAGAATCTCACCCCACAGGATGAGACGCCCCAGTCCAAAGTCTCAGGCATCATCACCATGAAAAATATAAAAACAAAAAGATTTACCGTCTTTAGCATGCAGAGATCATACAGAGATAAGCCAAATGTGTTATTTTCTGTATCTGATGCTGTGATAGCCGGAGCCCTGTTGACCCTGGAGGGACTGCCTCTCTCAGCGTTGGCTAATGCCTAGATACAGTCAATGACTCCCTTGGGAGCCTGCCTTTCAGATGCAAACCCACCAATCCAGAGGGCACACCCATCCACCTCTTATCTTGAGCTCTCACCCTCAGGCCAAATCCACCTGCCCTCATCACCCCAGAGCCAGGGTAGCAGACACCTAGGCACAATCCCCCTGCCCAAAGCCTCTGAAATTATTCCAATTAGCCAAAGCTAAGCTTGATTACCCTGGCTCTTCCCTACTTTCCTACAGAAACCACAGCAAAGCCTCCTGCCCCACCTCTTCCACCATCCTTCGGCCTCCTGACCCACCTGGTGCTTTGCTGGGTGGCCTTGAGTGGCAGCTGTGCCTCCTGTTTCTAGGGATCTATGAATACAAAAAGCTCCTTCCTTTAAGACGGTCATTTCTGTGTCTGTGTGCCTTGTCACATCCGTTAAAACAAATCCCACGAATGTTCATTGCAGCACTGTTTACAATAGCAAAGACCTGGAATCAACCCAAATGCCCATTGATGATAGACTGGATTGGGAAAATGTGGCACATATACACCGTGGAATATTATGCAGCAATCAAAAACGACGAGTTCGTGTCCTTTGTAGGGACATGGATGAACCTGGAGAACATCATTCTCAGCAAACTGACACAAGAACAGAAAATGAAACACCACATGTTCTCACTCATAGGCGAGTGTTGAACAATGAGAACACATGGACACAGGGAGGGGAGCACTACACACTGGGGTCAATTGGAGGGAATAGTGGAGGGACAGCGGGGGGTGAGGAGCTGGGGAGAGATAGCATGGGGAGAAATGGCAGATATAGGTGAAGGGGAGGAAGGCAGCAAATCACACTGCCACGTGTGTACCTATGCAACTATCTTGCATGTTCTTCACATGTACCCCAAAACTTAAATGCAATAAAAAAATGTAATTTATAAAAAAAAAATCCCAGAGAGCTTTCAAGCATCAAGAATAGAAGAATCACGTTAGAGTCCAGTAGAAAACATGCCAAGGCTGGTCAAAGTGGGAATACCAATGGCCATGGAACGGAAGCGTTCAGCCTTCTTAACGCGTGCATAATAGCTAAATAGCTGCAGATGGAACGAACACAGCTTTTAATGATTCAAAGCTGTCCAGGAGGTAAGCAATCTTCTGCTTTGCTGACTGAAAGTGTAAATTGGAAAAATAATTTCAAAGAGCCCTAAAAAATAGCCAACTCATCTTTGAATCAATACTTCTTTTAGAAATCTATCCTAAAGAGATAGAAATATTGACAACATGGGCTACAGTATAGAGGAAAAAAAAGCCATTTTCTGAATATGCTAACATTTCATTGATTTTTAAAGGGAAATATAATATATGGATATGAGAATATAGAATTTAAGAATGTGATAAGTACATGAAATTCACACTAATCTATTACCCTCCAACTGGGACTCATACATAAAGGAGATGGCTTAAGAATTTTAAAATTAATTTTATTTTGTATTCAAGTAATACACTGTAATGGATTATTTCATGTGTCAACTTGAATGCTGCATTGGGTGCCAGGATATTTGCTCAATTATTATTCTAGACGTATATATTAGCCGCCATAACAAATGCTATAGGCTGGGTGGCTTAAAAAGAAAAAGAAAAGAATTTTATTTTCTCTCCTGTTCCGGAGGCTGGAAGGTCCAGGATCCAGGTTCAGCCAGCTGCTGGTGAGGAGTCTCTTCCAGGCTTGCAGATAGCCACCTTCTTCCTGGGTCCCCACATGGCCTTTCCTTGCTGTGTGAACATGGAGATCTCCTTTTCTCATAAGGCTGCCAATCCTATTGGATGACAATCTCATTCGTATGACCTCATTTAACCTTAACTACTTGCTAAATGTCCTGTCTCTTATGCAGTGACATCAGGGGTGAGGGCCAGGGTTTTGCGGGGGCACACAATTCAGCTCATAGCAGTATGTCCGTGAGGCTGTTTTTGGATGAGATTGACATTTAAACTGGTAGAATGAATAAAGTAGATTGCTCTCCCTACGGCAGGTGGGCCTCATCCAATCACTTGAAAGCCTGAACAGAACAAAAACGCTGACCGTCTTACAAGGGAGAATTCCTCCTGCTTGACTGCTGTGAGCTGGGACGTGAGCCTTTTCCTACCTTCAGACGCAAATGGAAACATCAGCTCTTCCGGCAGCTGTTGGAAGGTAACTTACACCACGGGTTCTCCTCAGTTCCAGCTTGCCGACTGCAGATACTGGGATTTCTTAGCCTTCATAATCATGGAAGCCAATTACTGTGTATCAGTCTTTCTAGATATAGACAGGCAGACAGATGATAGATAGATAGACATTCTGCTTCATCTTATGTATGTTCTGTTCCTGTTTCTCTGGAGAAACATGGATAACACATACAGTTACATCATTACTAAACATTAAATAGTTTCGAGAGGCTTATCATGAGGTATCTGCTGCCTCACTTCTGCCCACCTCCAGGACCTACTCTGCAGTGGTAGCTTCTTCCAGACCAGACCAAATCTTCTGTTTGCCCTGATGGTTGCCTGCATATTTCTTTTCTTTTCTTTTTTTTTTTTTTGAGACAGAGTCTCACTCTGTTGCCAGGTGCCAGGCTGGAGTGCAGTGGCACAGTCTCGGCTCACCGCAACCTCTGCCTCCCAGGTTCAAGCAATTCTCCTGCCTCAGCCTCCCGAGTAGCTGGGATTACAGGCATGCACCACCGTGCCCAGCTAATTTTTGTATTTTTAAGTAGAGACGGGGTTTCACCATGTTGGCCAGGATGGTCTCTATCTCTTAACCTGGTGATCCGCCCGCCTCGGCCTCCCAAAGTGCTGGGATTACAGACTTGAGCCACCGCGCCCGGCCTGCATACTTCTAAATTATATGTCCGTGCTCTGTTTGCTATCTGGTCAGCCAATAACATTGATTCCATTGATTTAGTAATTGCCAATTTGAGCATTTTCTAAGTTCCTACATTTCTTAGGGCCATTGCCAGACTCTCCTGATCCTATCTATGTGTCTGTTTTTGCCTCCGTGCCTGAAGTTTTTGTTGCTAGTGTTTATTAATGTGATTTTTAATGTGTAGCTGGGCAGTCTCTCCCAGTTAATCATCTTACATGATATTATCTCAAATGTGTTCATCTAGATATCCTTTAGAAATACTGAACAACTTTTTGGCTGGGCATGGTGGCTCAAGAGGTTAGGAGTTCAAAACCAGTCTGG